CACAGTGATAGATGTTAAGGACTAACGTTTATAATAAATACATTTGTATTTATTTTAAGATCTTTTAATAGTTCATACAATCATACGTATTGGGATCATTTGTATTAATGTGGACCGGAGGGAGAGGGTGACGAGCATAAGTTTCACTTTCCTTTTTTATTTCAATTCCAACTTTGGTCATGAAGAATATGTTTCTCTGTTGTTCATAAAGCAACAGCATCAGAGCACGGTGCAGAGTCTCTAGATGAGTTTACAGTAGTCCCTCGTTCTTATTAAACATCCATGTTGTAGTCCGCTGTATAGAAAACTGTAGTTTCCATAGTTTCCCCACAGCAGCAGACGCACATTCATGACGTCCGCTGGCGCATCATAAGTACGTCGGATAGTGAAAGTGCATTCGGATTCTCTAAGCACCGCAGTCTCTTCTCCTAAATCCTTTTGAATTCTCCTATCCACTATCCCTTAACCCCGTGACGTTTCACCCAGAGGTCAAGGAATAGGAGATAGGGTTAGAATTTAGGAGCTAATTTTTGGATTATCGGAACGCAACCTAGTTTTCTATACAGCGGACTACAACATAGATGTTTAATAAGAACGAGGGACTACTGTAAACTCATCTAGAGACTCTGCACCGTGCTCTGATGCTGTTGCTTTATGAACAACAGAGAAACATATTCTTCATGACCAAAGTTGGAATTGAAATAAAAAAGGAAAGTGAAACTTATGCTCGTCACCCTCTCCCTCCGGTCCACATTAATACAAATGATCCCAATACGTATGATTGTATGAACTATGAAAATATCTTAAAATCAATACAAATGTATTTATTATAAACGTTAGTCCTTAACATCTATCACTGTGTATATCACCATTCAAACATCTTTTAAAAGTTGAACAAACCCCACACAGCTCAGTGAAATGTTGACTTTATTTGATCATTTCAGTAAAAACTAACGTTCATATTTGACTTTTTGATTATAATACTGATGAACGTTCAAAACAAAGTACTTTGGCAACTTACCACATACGTTTTAAAATGCGTAATAAGCACCGTAACTTTCATGATATAATTTCTCCCATTATCGTTTGTGTCCGTGAACGGCCGACTGTTGAGTGACGGCAAATGCTGCGGCTGCAATGCATTGTGGGGCAGCATTTTCTCCTCTCCTTTCGGTTAGGGAGGTCCAGTGGTTCCTAAGCTAAAGGAGGTTATAAAGGAAGTTTGAAACCTCCTTTCCTTTCATTTGGAGAATTGGAACGGCACTTATCATGGCTGCCAGTGACGTACTTCCGGGTCATTTCACTTGGTTAGGAAGGTTCCTAAGCTAAATGGACTATTGGAATGGGCCCATAGACAAACAGACAAAACAAACACAGACAGGGGAAAAAGAAGGAGGAAGTACTGCAGATAGTGCTGTAGCGACGCGTCGACTTCAAAATATCGTTGACGACATATTTCCGCGTCGACGCGTCGCTACACACACGTGGTTCACCCAAAGCAACAAGCAGTTCGCAATCGCACTTCAAACACAATGGAGACTGAAACGGCTACCACCTCCTCCTCAAACGATTGCGCACGAAGCCCCCAAACGAAAACATCTCGCCCTAGGTCTTCAAAAGCATGGGAATATTTTAAAGTTAGTCCAAAACGCAAAGATATTTATATATTTATATCTCACTGAGACTGCTGCATATCCTAGACCGGAAGCAGCAGCTAGCTGTGGTGGCTACCATTAGCAGCTAGCATTTGCTCTCCGATTTTTACATACAAATGGAATTATGGATTATAAATTCAATCATTTTTGTATACATAGACGTTAAAAACCTATGGATTAACCGATTAAGCCGCATTTTTTCTCATTTTAATGCCATTGAACATGTCTTGATCAGATTGACAGCTACGGTGGTGAGACGATCTCCCTAGAAGCTCTGTAAAGGTACGTGTTGTGATGACTGTATTTGCTTCCCCTGTCGCGAGTCCGGATCACTCAGTGATGATACTATATACCTACATAATCTGTGGAGTCTCAGCTTTAATCGGATATTGTATGTGCAGCTACGATACGTAATAAGGGTACTTTTATCTTGAGTTCTGTGCCAATGTCCGTTAGCATTTTTCGCTCAGGGGTCATTTAGATGCTTCTTATGAGACTTGTGTTTTGTGTTGGTAAACATGGTTTGTATCGTCAGTTAGCTGAGATTATTTCTGTTAATCTGGTATAACACATTAATAGCTTCTTAAATATTAAGATCCCCTGAGACACAGTATCGTGAAAAACATTTTTTTTACATTTCGTTTTTTTTACATTACATTTTTTATGAATTGAACAACAGAAAAATAATCGTTAGATTAGTCGACTAATCGATCAAATAATCGCCCGATTAATCGTTTTCAAAATAATTGTTTCCCCCCAGCACTAACTGCAGATCCTCACACACCTTGTGTTGGTTTATCCCTGGGTGGTACTGTGACCGGGCAGTTGGTGCTGTTTTTGTATTTTGGCCAGTCTCTCTGCTCCATTAATGAGTAAGTGCTCATCTGTTTGGCTTAAACCCAAATCTGTGTTGCTCCACTTGTTGCCATGGAAGCATCCCATTGGGGTTGCTGTGAGTGAGGATGATAAACACTGTTTTGGGAAAATTACTAGTTCCAAATGTACATTCAATTTACTTCAGTATTTTTGTATGTGTTAAACAGGTCCTGACCCTATGAGGCCGCTTGTTGTTTCTGAATATAATTTACTATAATGAACAACTTATTTTTACCCATGGCCTTATATTTGGACTAGTCATATCCATGTGATGTCTGCATGGGCTGCATGTCATCTTTAGGGACTAAAAGGAACAGATGTGTGGGGACTCCTCATGGTGTCTGTAAGTCTAATTGCACTGACGTTTCTGGTGATATGATGGGCACTGAGTTCTCCCATGAGACCCTGCTTCTCTGCCACTTGGGTACATAAGGCTGTGATTAGATGTCATCAATTGTTATTCTTTAAAATGTTCTCGTGTCGTTAACCAAAACCTTTTTTTATCATATGAATCAGCCGGAGTGAGTCAATGCTTTGTGGTTTATTTGATCAAATCAAAGATAGCCTAAACAAATATGGCTGTGTTAAAAGATTGGTTGGAATTATTAGTGGTCACCAATTACATGTTTGGTCAGCAAGGCACGTACTGCATCTTTGAACTGGGTCATCACATTTAGTGTTAGAATAATGCACTTAATATCTTTCTTTCTTTTTAATGTTCTACAGCAGGGGTCTTCATCTAAAATTCAACGAGGTCCAGTTAGAGAAAATCTCCCCATGCAAAGGTCCGGAACATCAAAATGTCTAACTTGCTTCATGAATTAGTGTGATATATATTGAAGTGACCTGTAGCTTTATCAACGTCTGCATGTAATCAACAACTGACTGCCAATCAAATAAAGAAAGTACAATTCAAAAACAACAACATTTATTGTCAATTAACATTACTTAAATACTGTGGATATGTGTAATGTTCCTCTCGGGAAGCATGACTTAACAGTTTCAGCCGATTATAGAACAATATCAGTCTTTACATCATAACAATTGAACAGTTTTAAAGTTTCTCTTTCTTTCCCTCTTATATTGCAGTCCTTCACTCACTTTTTTTAAAATTCAGTGTGAGAATTGAGCTGGAGCTTGTCCTGCCAGGAGTTTGTAAATCTGGGCTGAAATGGTGTCAGGGCTATTCTCATACACATGCAGGTGCTCATTGGTTACAGTGATGCAAACACAGGTATGGTGAAAAAAGAGAGAACTATTCGAAGCAGGAAAAAACAGTGTAATATACCATCTGACAAAGGCCTGCGCTATAATGCTTCAATTAACTGTTCTTTATAATATACTCAGATCAATAGGAGACAGAGATGTTAAGTTATAAATCAAGGGTTTTTATTATTATTTACAGCAGGGGTGGGGAACCTTTTTCCTTTCAATTTTTACAACATCCTCCGAGGGTCGTACAAATGATTGAACTCAACCTCTGCTTAAAAAAACTAAAATCACAGCCCATTCATTTGGCCTTTCTTTCATGCTGTGCACAGAAAAAGCAACCTCTTAATCCAGATATCTCACCATGACTCACGCATGCATGCATGTGCACGGTGTGGCATGACCACCAACACAGAAAGATATGGACACAAGATGTGTGCAAATGTATTTAGTTTCCTATCCATGGGAACATGATTTAAGTGGGGGGGGGGGACCTAACCTCCTCTAGGGGGGTCCGGGGGCATGCTCCCCCGGGAAGATTTTTTTTAAATATTGAAGTTAAAAGCATCAATCTGGTGCACTTTGAGAGCAACATGAAGAGATCTATGGATCCATCTTTCAACACCCATATGAAACAGAACTGTAAGCATATTTTTCTTTTTGGATATTTTACAAATCACTCCCCTTTTAAACTCTATTCTTGTTATTTTTAACAACTTTTTTGTGACTGTCATATAGTATTTTATACCTGTTTTTGATTTAGTCTCTAATGTCTCATTAATAACTATAATGATCATATCAAGGTGTGCGTTAACCTCCTCACTGAGCTGAGGTTATGTGAGCCTCTCAGGAGAGAGCTCTCTTCCACCTGGTTGTAGAAAAGCTCTTTAAATTCATTAGCATAGCTAGCTAACCAGATGATAATAACAACAGATCGCCACTGTGCTTACAACTAAAGACACAGCCACGCAAACACTGCGGCATGTGTACGGCTCCTTATGGGTACTGCAATATTTGAAGGGCTGGAGCGGCGTTCCGGTGCTCTCTGTCAGCACTCCTTTCAGACGAGACATATACCACGTGAAGACACGTTCCGCTCGTGTTGTGTTCAAGGAACCTGTCCTTGGCCAGGACAAACAGGTACTCGCTTGTTTAATTATTTTTGCGGTCTAGATTTCTTCTTCTTTTTTGAAGTGAGAAGTTGTCCGTCAGTCCGACTCTTCGGTTCTCCACGAATTACACAAGTCACCCAAATCAGCGTTAAAAAAGCGGGAGCCACCGAAAAATCCCCTATTAATGTATTGATTATAGCTCCGGGTCCGTATAGGTCGGCATCTGGGTCCAGATCCGGACCGCGATCCGCCTGTTGCCGACCCCTGTTCTACAGCATATACAATGAAGAAAGGAACCGTCTTCGCCTCTGAGCGCGGGAACAGAGGAACCAAGAAACAAGCCCACCCAAAGAACCCAACCCTGAGAATGTGCCACTCTTTAGGGAACCATACAAGGTAAAGACCCACTCTACAGGAGTTACCTGCTCTAATGATCACACTGGGCTTCAACTGTTCATATTATTGATACAAAGATTATTATTTTTGACTTCTTTCAAAAGCAACGGTTTCAGGATCAAAATGACTCTATTCATTATCAGAGGGAAATTGATCATTTCTGTATGTGTGCTGTATTGTTGGCTTAAAAGTTACATAAAACCTTTCACCTTCTAGTGTTTTTTGTAGTGTGCTATACAATTATGTTTACTTTACAAAAAGAAACTGTCAAAGACAACAACATAACCTTTGCATTTTAAGTCCAATGTGTGAGGAGTGTCAAGAGAGATATTCTTAAATGTAACGTACACATTATTGGGAACAAATAAATAAATGGCAAATGATATTGAAACAAAAGCAAGTTTGTTCCACCTACTGTTTGTCTTAATTAACCAAATCCTACATATTGCTACCGATATATTGCTTCTAACAAAGTGTTTACCCTTTCTTTACGCAGACAAACAAAGGGGATACTCTTTCCAATCGAATCCAGAGGATGCTGGGTAGTTTTGAAGATGTGAATAATCCCTGTCCCTTAGCCATTGAGCCTTTACCCATTCCTACTTATGTAACCTTCTCACAGTCAGATCAGGCTCAGCCAAACACAGATAAACCAGCCAAGCCTCCATTCCTTAACCAAGTCCACACGTCCATCCCAAGTCAGAAAGCCCCCTCTTGTAACGGTTACTCCTCTCAGCCCATGAGGACGTCCACTGCCCCTTCTCCTCCTAACCAGCATGGACATTCATCCACTTTCTCGAATAGGTCCTTAAACCACAGTCAGCTCGGCCTCTCAGCACAGCAACAAAAGAAGAGTGAAGCCCACTCAGGTCTCAGGGAGTGTGTCAGCCTTCCCCAGGAAATGTCTTATCAGTCTCCTGATGACAAGCGGCCACCCTTCCCACATTCCATTGACCATGATAACTATGACACGGACACTAGGGACACCTTTGATAGACTTCAAGTTCAAGGGTCCACAGATCACCACCCTGAGTCTGACAGCGCCATGGATGTTTCCACATTTGACCTGAAACAGTCCCCCAAAGATTCATCTCTGCCTCAAGCAAACAAAGGTAACACACTACCTTCCCAGACCTTCCCTTCACTCCTGTCGTCGAAGCCGCCCAGCGTAGTCATGACCCAGAAGCCCACAGCGTATGTGCGGCCCATGGATGGTCAGGACCATGTGGTCAGCGAGTCACCTAGGCTGAAGCTTTCACCAGAGCCATATGTACCTCTACCGGAGATAATCAACAAATCTGCGCTAGGCAAAACCAAGTTGCTGCCACCATTTTTGGAGGTAAATATATTCTCTTAGTTCGCTGTACTGTTATTAGACATGATATTATCTAGGCTGTATAATGGCTGGTTAGCTAATTTTAGCATGAAGAAAGAAAACAGGAGGTAACGGCTAGCTTGTCTAAAAATAGTTCTGCTTTTGAGGTGCTGGTAGATGGATTCTGTTACCTAGACAAAACCAAACTAGCTGTATTCCCCCTGTTTTTAGTCTTAATTCTAACCAGCTTTAAATTGGTGAAAAGCTTTCAGGTGGTATTGATTTTATCTAACGCTCGGAAAGAAATAGAATAAGTGTGTTTACAAAAATGTTAAAGTATTCCTTTAATATCATTAGTAATAGTGTCATAGCTAAAATCCTGACACCATTTCCAGGATAGCAGCGTCCATCAACTGGCCTCAGTCTGTCGGACTGTAATTTAAACCAACTACGGCCATGTGCTTCAGGAAATAGTGTGTTTTCTTTAAAGACAGCTATTAAATAAAATAAATCATAAGTTTGCAGGACTGGATTCCTTCAATCCAAAGAATTTGGTTTTTCTATAGAACCTGGTTGTTCCTGTTAAATACAAAAGTCCGAATCAAAATACCTTTATTAGTCCCCCAGAGGGGAAATGTACATTGTTACAGCAGAAAAGAGCCAAAGACAGCTTAATGTTACCTTAATGTTAAGTAGCATGCACACAAAAAAAAAATTAAAGATAAAAAATATATATAATAAAAAGGTTACACAATTTACAAAAAACACATCCTGTTCTGAGGATTTAGCAGCCAGGTATATATTGCAGTTATTAACGGTGTGTGTATATATATATATATATATATATATATATATTGCACATAGTTGGTGGTTAACAACAAGGAGTGTTACAGTATAGTAGTAGGATAGTAAAGACAGCATGGAGTAGATACTTGGTATATTTGGAATATAAAATTGTCTTGAGATGTCAGTGACACTGAATCTCTGGTTTTGGTGGTCCGGTGATTGGTGAATGTGGGGAGTGATAGAACAAGGGAAGTCCTACTTATTATTTCCCAGCACTGTTGTCTGGGCTATGAATGTACTGTGGAATGAGAGGATTGTGTCATCTGGAACATAGGGTTAGGGCTAATCAGCTAAAAAAAAAAATATTCTTGATTTAAATTTTAAGGCACTTTAAGTTCTAAGGCTTGATTTGTTTGAGAGAATTTGGCTGAACTCCAGGTCAATTCTATAGAGAGGCGAAGTCCCGCCCATCTACTTCCGACCCATGGGACCTTATTTCGGAAAACTCATGTATTGAAGTCAATTGGGAGAGAAAGATTATCTTTCGATCCCGTTTGAATTGTGCCACGAATTACACATATGATGTTTGTCAATTTAAAAAATAATTTCCATGTCAAAAAAGTCACAGTTTGTCGTAAAACTGTTGAAATATAAGACTATGAAAAATACGCAACTAGAAAGACTACAAATCCCAGAATCCCGTTCCCGCATGCTGGCTCTTACGGAACCGACTAACTCCCCTTGTGTGTATGTACAGCTCTCAACATGCCCAGACTTGTAGTGATTTTCACCTCTTTTAATACTTTTTGCCTCATTCTGTAAGAAAGAAGTGAAATGTGCCAACGTGACGGCCGTCTTGTTGTGTGGTGCGAGATGGGAGATGTAGTTCATTGAGCGGTTTCTCACAAAAAAAAGTGTTACTTCACAGTTTTAGGACACATTTAAAAAATGTTGACTTGCAAAATTATCTTTTAAATTGACAAACATCATATGTGTAATTCGTGGCACAATTCAAACGGGATCGAAAGATGATCTTTCTCTCTCCATTGACTTCAATACATACTTTTTCCGAAATAATGTCCCATGGAGCTCCCCCGGAAAGGGAGGGACTTCGCCTCTCCATTCATAAATAGACACACACAGGCGTTGCATCTGCAGCACGACACAGCTCCCCCTACAGTCCTGCAGCAGCACAGCAGTGCTAAATATGCTTCTATTCTCGCTACTCTGACTAATCCATGATTGCAGGTTATACAGGCAATTATTTATATTCCTACTAAACCTTTGCTCCTAAATTAGGATCCACATCTGCAGTTTGCCATGTATAAAACACTTTGGATATAAAGTACAATCACAAATGTCTCTTTCCTCCAAACTATTGAGAAATAGAAGAAGTAATGTGCTTTCAACAATGTGTTTTTCCTTAAACAAGTCAATACACAGGTTTAATGGGTCAGAGAACCAACGTCCCAGTGCACGCCATTTTTTTAATTCCGGCACAAGTGTAAACCTTCTGGTGTGAAACTAAAGCTAGTTTAAAAATAAACCCTTAAACTAGCTTTCTTAAATGGAACAACCAATGGTAAAATAACAATTACATATATTTTTGTATTTTATAATAAATATGGTTTTCATGTGAATGTTAATTCAACATCAAAATGCAATTGTTGCCCCAAAACGGTGGAACCTTGATATTGCTGTTATTTTGTAATGTTAAATGGTTTCATTTTAAAACCAAACTCTCCACTGCATCTCTTCATGGAAACAATGCGAGTGCTTCTGCAGGTCTCTACCGCTCTCTGCTGGACAACACTGAAATGCATATATCTCTTTACTTTGATTTTAATGTGGTATGGTTGTATTTAATGTTTTCAGTGTTTTCAATTCCCCCCAAATTACAGTATACTTAGAGATGATTTTACATAATGCAGGTTTTAAGATAAAGAACAGCTGGCCAATTCCCAAGTAGGGCTCGATATCTCTCTATTCTGGTGAGATATAGTTGCAACAAACCGATGCAAGAAGTAAACAATCTGAAGGGGGGTCTTATGTTGTATTTAGCTATGTTATTTTACCTGTTTGACCTGTGAAATACCATTAAAAGGTTTGCTCTTGGAAATATTAGCCCTTTACCATTTTCTATGTCTGTCATGTTATAATTGCATAAAGGTTTATTCACTGTTTTGGACAGATCATTTGTTCATTTCTTTTCTACAGACAAGGACAGATGAGGTTCAGTGTGTCGAAGAAATCTTGAGGGTAAGTCCAGCTTTTACAACTCTCATTTACAGTTGAAGGCCGCAAGGTGAACCTCGAAAAGTCCTTTAGAAAAGAAATCCCGCTCCACAGAAGTGGAACTACATAATCTTTAGTTCATAAAAAAGAACGAGTCATGCTTATCCACCAAAGAAAAGTTCGTCGCTAAAATTCCTGTCAATTCTTCTAGGCACGTAATTATTGGCTGAACTAGTCCCTTCAAAGCGTAATAATATCTTGGTCAAAAGTAGTGCCACGGTTTGTCACGTGATCATGCCAATCTACCAATTGGGTAGCTGCATATTGTCAACAGAAGTGAAAGATGGCCGCCTCCATGGTTACACTAAACCAGACCAAATGGATTCTAAACAGTGCTGTATGCTTGTTTTATGTCATGTTTTGTCATATGTCTTAATACATCACTAAGTCCGAGGTATTTGCGTTATATACGTGGTATTTGTGAGAGGTTTTACTATCTGGGAACAGAGTTGACCATCGAATCAACATTGGCTAGCAGCGTTTATCAGCCAACTCCAGCTACAACAACATTCCTGGACTACCATGTTCGCATCGCTAGGTTCATTTGCTGAGTTTGTGGATTATTCCATTAGACTGAGGACTTTTTGTCTGTCTGTCTGTTGTTATTGTTACCCTGTACACGTTAAATGCACTCTTAAAATAAACATGACTTGATTTCATACATAGCTGAGTCCAAGAAGAAGGTTAACTTGTTACGTTAAGTAATTTAGATCAATAAAATGCAGTACTTATACCAATGACCATTGATTCATTTATTTACTCATTCATCATATAATAATTTGATGAATTACATTATTATTATTATTATTATAGATATATATAATATATATATATTATTATTATTGTAATATGATAATATTGTATTTGTAACTTCAAAATCAATGCCACCGTTGTAAGCTTGTCCTGTACGTATTCCATCTTGTATTGGTAAAATAATCAACCTTTTCGTGCTTCACAGACGTAATATGCATGTAACAATGTTTGTGTGTTGATAATTTTGACTTTTTGAGACTTTTTGGTGCGTTTTCCTCGTCCCCGCTACTCGATGAAACCATGGCGGTCGCCATTTTTTCCAAATCTGTTTGTTGATACCGGTATATGCAGCTACCCAATTGGTGTAGCACGATCACGTGACGGACCGTGGCACTACTTTTGACCAAGATATTATTACGCTTTGAAGGGACTAGTTCAGCCAATAATTACGTGCCTAGAAGAATTGACAGGAATTTTAGCGACTTTTTTTGGTGGATAAGCATGACTCGTTCTTTTTTATGAACTAACGATTGTGTAGTTCCACTTCTGTGGAGCGGGATGAAACGATAACAGGGTTCACCTTATGGCCTATTGCTACATCTGCTTGCTATAATGTTTATTTTATGAAGAGTGATGCCTGTATTGTAGTTGGGCCGTCTTTAGGCTCCTTGCATATAACATTCTTGTTATCCCACCATACAGGAAATGACCCACTCATGGCCTCCTCTCCTGACAGCCATACACTCACCGAGCTCAGTAGAACCCTCCAAGTCTCCGTTCCCAGCCAAGGTAAGACTTTAAAAGTTGAGGATAATTGAAAAGAAAAAGCATGTTTTAAGGCCTTAAGTCCTGGTAATTAAAGATCTGTTTGCATATACAGTAACGATTATCACACCATTTATTAATTAAGTGTACATGAAGATAACCATGTGCAAACTTAAATAAAGCCCATGTGTGACCCATGTAAAAGCTTGCGTTTGTTTCATTGTCTTCACAGGAAGCAGCGTGTCTCTCTTCATGTCCTGTACAAAGTGAGTCATTAAGTGAATGGCAATCAAAAATCAAGGCACAAAACCAGGATACACATGTTCATTAATATACATGTTGGTACTATATCATAGAACATCCCAAACAAGCATGCAGACCAGGGTTAGTGTTTTGTCTGTAAAGGACGAGGGTAAAATACAGTGATTGGAAACATCTGCTGTACATACAGCCTTTAGATAAAGAGTCTGTTTTAATAATTTGTGTGAATTGAATACTATAAACATTTCAAGGTTTTTCATGACATGTAATTCCCCTATTTTCTTCCAGAAAACTACAAGTCCCCTCCAGCAAATCCATCCCAGCTCATCATCGTAAGTGACAATTAGGCTTTTGGCAGTTTGTTAATTCAGCCATTTAGACAACTTACAAGTTTTTTCATTAATGGAGCAACTAATCATTATTTCCTAATCAATACATCTGCATCAATCATCAATTTAAATATTTTATCAATAATCAAATGTTGTATCTACACTCACCGGCCACTTTATTAGGTACACCCTGTTAGTGCCGGGTTGGATCCATTTTTGACTTCAGAACTGCCTTAATTCTTCGTGGCATAGACTCAACAAGGTGCTGGAAACATTCCTCAGAGACTTTGTTCCATATTGACATGTTGGCATCACGCAGTTGCGGCAGATTTGTCTGCTGCACATCCGTGATGCAAAACTCTCGTTCCACAACATCCCAAAGATGCTCTATTGGATTGAGATCTGGTGACTGTTGAGGCCATTTGAGTTCAGTAACTCGTTGTCATGTTCAAGAAACCAGTTGGAGATCATTTGAGCTTTGTGACATGGCGTGTTATCCTGCTGGAAGTAGCCATCAGAAGATGCGAACAGTGTGGTCATAAAGGGTTGGACATGGTCAGCCTCTATACTCGGGCTGTGGCGTTTAAACCATGCTCAATTGGTACTAAGGGGCCTAAAGTATGCCAAGAAAATACCCCCCATACCATTACACCACCACCACCACCAGTCTGAACCTGATAGATCCATGCTTCTGACCCTACCGTCCAAATGTCGCAGCAGAAATCGAGTCATCAGACCAGGCAACATTTTTCCAATGTTGGTGAGCCCGTGCAAATTGTAGCCTCAGTTTCCTGTTCCTAGCTGACAGGAGTGGCCCCCGGTGGGGTCTTCTGCTGCTGTAGCCCATCTGCTTCAAGATTCCACGTGTTGTGCGTTCAGAGAGGGTCTTCTGCATACCTTGGTTGTAACTAGTGGTTTGAGTTACTGTTGCCTTTCTATCATCTTGAACCGTTCTGGCCATTCTCCTCTGACCTCTGGCTGCCGCTCACTGGATATTTGTATCTTTTACGACCATTCTCTGTAAACCCTAGAGATGGTTGTGTGTGAGATCCCAGTAGGTCAGCAGTTTGAGACACTTAGACCAGGGCTGTCTGGCACCAACAACCATGCCACGTTCAAAGTCACTTAAATCACCTTTCTTCCCTATCCTGATGCTGTGTTTGAACTTCACCAGGTCGTCTTGAGCATAAGCGCTTTGAGCACCAGGAAAACGCTATATAAATGTAATTTATTATTATTATGTCTACATGTCTAAATGCATTGAGTTGCTGCCATGTGATTGGCTGATTAGGTATTTGCGTTAACGAGCAGTTGAACAGGTGTACCTAATAATAAAGTAGCCAGTAAGTCTATTTATATACATTTTATAGGAAATAATTAATATTGCTCTTGTAATTCCCTAAAGGTAAATTATTCAAATGGCTTGTTTTATTTAATAAATGGACAAAACCACCAGAATATTACTGTTGTAAATGACAAAGAAAAGTCCCAGATTTGAGAAGCTGGAAATGTGATATTATTATTGTTGTGTTCTGTGTGTGGGTGCCGTAGATCACTTGAAGCAGCACATTCCCGAGGGGTAGAGCCGGCCAGCTCCAGCGACTCAGAGTGTAGCTCAAGATCAGAGTCGGAAAGTGAAAGCACCATCGAGGAGCCGCCTCCACCCCCTGTGAGCATCTCTGTTAAAACCGAGGTAATTTGCTGCTTGCCACATTTACATTCCAGTGGTTCCTAAGCTAAAGGAGGTTATAAAGGAAGTTTGAAACCTCCTTTCCTATCATCTATCTATAGAATTCGAACGGCACTTATCATGGCTGCCACTGAGGGACTTCCGGGTCATTTCACTCCGTTAGGAAGGTTCCTAAGCTAAATGGACTATTCGACTGAAACCCTGGACTTTTACTTGTAACAGAGTATTCCTACACTCTAGTATTTCTACTTTTACTTAAGTACAATATCTGAGCACTTCTCCCACCTCTGCTAGCTATTGAAATCCGTTGTAGCTGTACGCTAATGTAACTGTCACGACACTCAACACTCATAGCACTCTCTATGTTCATGTGAAGGCACGTCCGGGTTTTCATTTGGTGCCAAAACTACAGCACCAATTGCAACATTTGGCTTTGGCTCAGCAGCCGCCGCCGCCGCCTCATTCGGATTTGGCAGTAAGTCCATAGATCCGATGGTCACTAAAGAGGGCACCTCTCCTCATCTGAGCCCCAATAATCAAAGCTACTCGGCTGTGTTGTTGGGCAGTTGTATTGAAGAGATCGACTAGGTCTGTCTCATCCAGATTTGCAGGAACAGCAACTTAAACACCCACCTGCCACTTCATTAGGTAGGCTACATTTAATGTGTATTCAATACAACAATGCTGCCTCTACATGCATAATAATGTTCAGTTTACTTTGACACTGTAGGAGAGGTATCACTTTAAAAACATTGTTATGATTGAGCTATTAGTAGGCAGTGGTGATAGACTTGTATTTATTACTAATATTTTGTCTATTGTAAGAGAATATTTTCATCTGATCTGTTTATAGAGTCTTTTATGGTTCCTTAGAGTCTGTGATACTGCAAACATCTGCTTGTAGTCAGTCAGAGACTTCTCTGTGGGTTGAGGTCACAGGTCAAACGCGTCTCCTATGTCCGAGGGTTGACCTGGCAGCATCTCTTTGAGACAAGCAGATCATTGTCTTGCATCGGCTAATTGATTATACGCGGGCTTTCTGGAAGCCCGCCTCTCCTCGTGTTGGTTAGATGTTTTGTGTCTTTTGGTTCAGAGAGATCGCTGGTGGAGCACTGGGCATGTGTGAAACTTAGATGATCTCCCCGGCCGTTATTGTCTGTACTGTGATCAATAAAACTCTTCAGTGCTCTTGGCTAACAACGGTTCCAGACTCCTTCATTCTACCTCAACATTGCAACAACAGAAGTTTACCTTCACATTTTGGCGTCTACGAATAGGATGCCGAGATTTCTTCAGAAGGCTGGTAAGTGCTTTTTTTCAAATCTATTTGAACAACTGCCTTTATAGCGGCCAAAATCATAAAAATATAAGAAAGAAATATAACGCAAAGTGCCGCCGAGGCACCCGTCAGCGAATCTTACGCATGGGTAAAAATCAAGGTCCGAGCAAAAGTCGTTTCAGTGCAATTTATTGTCAACACATCAAGCATTTCTCTTCCTTCTTACCCGATGGTAAAAAACCATAAGCCTACCGGGTGCGCCGCTCACTACCACCTGTTTCCCATATTTATAATGAGCCGGTCTCCCCTCCCCCGGTGCCCAAAGGCTGTCTTTACAAAACAGAGGCATGGTACAACTTATTTGATCAACTTAAATAAGAATTAAAAGGAAGATTTACTATAAACAAAAAATAACAATAAAATAAATGGATAACTATTAAATAATATAAGCTCCTAGATATGGCTTCATCATACCGGCCCCTAATTGTGATGCAATAGCAAATCAATTACAACAAAACATTCTATGGAGCCAGGTAACACCTTTAAATATTTGAGACTACGCAAAATATCTAATTACATTTTTGTTTATCATACAAAATCTACTAATATGCATATATACATTCAACAAGTCATTTCAATTAGCCCCCACTTAGATCCCCCCCAAAGTTCATGCTGCATCAGTGTCTTTGGTGGTTTCACCAGTCACTGTCCCTGAGGCAGGAGACAATAGTCAAAGGGTATCAGTGTAGTTTGAAATGGAGAGGTTTGTGTATGGAAAGATGTAAGAAAGACACTATGTGTGTGTGCAGGGGATAGGGGTAGGGCATTGGCTAGCTCTTGGCTCAGTTGGCTTCCAGGAGTAGACAGAGCTTACTAATGGGCCTTTGCAGGATGTTAGAATTGGTCCTCTTCGACATGAAAACCGCCTTATGGCGTTGATGCAGGAGTTAGTATCCAGGGTACTCGCCACCTCCAGATGAATAGCTCGACTCACAAGGCAGGTGAATATTACCCCCCACCGCTTCACCTGGCCTCGACCTCTTTTAACCACGATGGGTCCGAAATAGTCAATTCCCACATGAGAGAAAGGTGGAAGGTCTGGAGCCACACGATCTTCAGGTAGGTCAGCCATTTTTTGTTCTCCAACTCTAGCTTGCATGCGTCTACAAAAAACACAAGCTGGTTATTTTCCTTGCAGAAGAGTTGGCAGAGGGTAACCAGAATTTCTGGCCTAGTCTGGAGAGCATGTGGTTCCTCCCAGAGTGTCCGACCTGCTGATGAATATCGCGTAGAATCAGTTTGGATATGTGGGAGTTTTTTGGAAGGATTATCGGGTTTCTCAAATGTACTGGCATAGCAGATTTACTTATGCGTCCTCCAATCCGTAGGATACCTTCATCCAGAATAGGATCAACTTTGCGTAAGGGGCTGTCAGCTTTAACATCTTTTCCTTTCCTTAGCAGCATCAGCTCAGATTCAAAGTAGCGCTCTTGTTCATAGTGAATGATGGATCTCTCTGCTTCCTCCAAATCCTCCACAGATAGTCCTTGTTGTCTTTCTGCAGTTTTGGAGCAGGTCACTGGTGCTTTAGCTCTTTTGGATTGAAGCAGTCTTTTGAGTTTCAACAACCAACCAACTGCTCTCTGTAGTTTTTTCCAAGAGGAGTAGTGTTCAATGAGGTCGGTGGTTGCACAGTTATTTATTTTCAAGCTGTTAACAGAGATGTCCTTTTTGATCTCTGGATCATTAAGGAGGATGTGGCCAAGATCCTTTGGCACTTCGGGCCATTCACTTTCCTCCTTTGAAAGGAAGTCAGGGCCATTCAACCATCTTGTGGACTCCAAGAATGGTTCAATACTCAATCCACGTGATGCAAAGTCTGCTGGATTGTCCTTGGAACTTACATGCCTCCATTGGCTTTCTTGGGACAAGTTGTGAATCACAGCTATCCTATTAGCAACGTAGGTATGGAATCTTTTTGTTTGGTTGTGGATGTATTTTAGTACTGATGTACTATCTGTCCAGAAGGTTGATTTCTGTAGTTTCATGTTTAGTTCCTTCTGTAACATCCTGTCAACTTTTACAGCAAGTGTAGCAGCTGCGAGCTCCAGTCTGGGAATGGTGATTTGCTTCAGAGGATTGACTCTGGATTTCCCGAGAATGAATGACACATGAGTATCTCCTTTGTGGTTCGTGAATCTAATGTAGCTTGCAGTGCCATGCCCTTTTTCACTTGCGTCACAGAAGTGATGCAGCTCAGCAGTCCTTATGAGTCCAACATGTTCAGGCTTCATGCACCTGTTCACTTCAAATCTGCCCAGCTGATCTAGTTCTGCTATCCATCTTTGCCATGACTTTGAAAGGTGTTCTGGGATAATTTCATCCCATCCACACTTATCAATGCAGAGTCCTCTAAGGATTTGCTTCGCCTTGAGGATGAATGGTGAAAGGAAACCGAGGGGGTCGTAAATAGAACTGACAATAGAAATAACTGTTCTTCTTGTAGGAACTCTGTGTTTGATGGCAGCAGTGAAGGTAAAAGTATCTCTCACAATATTCCACTGGATGCCTAGAACTCTTTCTAGAGGTGTTTTTTCGTTGTCCAGATCTAGTTGCTCAACTGGTTTAGCTCTGTGCACTTCAGGGATGGTTCTAAGCACGTCTTGGCTATTACTCACCCATTTGTTAAGAGTAAATCCTCCTTCGGCACATGCCTTCATTAGATCCTTGGTAAGGTTGATAGCTTGAGTTGTAGAAGCCACTGATTTGAGACAATCATCCACATAGAAGCTGCGCTGAATGGTTTCCAGTACTTCCGTGCTGTATTTACTGATATTGTCTCTTGACACTTGTTGCAAGGCAAAGCTGGCTATGCTTGGGGATGATACTGCACCAAAGAGATGCACATTCATCCGATAGACCTCCAGTGGTTTGCTGATGTCTCCTTGAGGCCACCACAAAAACCTGAGATAGTCACGGTGGTCTTCCTGTACTTGTACTTGGTAGTACATTGCTTCAATGTCAGCCATTATTGCAATTTTCTCCTGATGGAAACGAAGCAAGACGCCTAGAAGGGGATTAGTCAAGTCCGGACCTTGGAGGAGTGCAGCATTAAGGGACTTTCCTTTAAATGAAGATGAACAGTCAAATACAACCCTGAGTTTCTTCTTTCTTTTATGGTAAACCCCATGATGCGGTATGTACCAGAGCCTGCCGTCTGATCTTTGAAGTTGATCTTGTGGAACCTTTTCGGCATAGCCCTTGTCCAGTACCTTTTCCATGAAGGCTTTATATTCTTCAGCGTAAACTGAATCCCTCATGAATTTCCCAGCAAGGTTGGCTGTGCGATGTAGTGCCATGTTGTAATTGTTAGGCAGGGCCAAGTCCTTATCACGGAAGGGTAGAGGTAAGTTGTAATGTCCGTTTTTGATGATTATTGAACTTTCAGCCAAGTCCATGAATTTCCTGTCCTCACATGACATCTCTCTTTTTTCCTCATATTCTTTTTCAGGGAAATCCTGGTTGTACTGTGAGACTAGCTGGTCCCTCAGATTATCCAGTGAAATTCTATTGACGGTTGCTGACCTTGTTTCAGAAGTATCCAAAGCAGTGTGAGATTTGAGGGGCCCATTGACCACCCATCCAAACATTGTCTTCACTGCATATGGTCCATTACCCTGACTGTGGATTATATCCCAGGGTTCCAAGGCTTTGGGAACATTCATCCCTATCAGCATTTCAATGTCTGCATCAATTTCCTTGATTTGGATCTGACTGAGATGAGGCCATTTTTCAAGATCGGAGTGTGTGAGAAGGTTTTCCGTTGAGACAGGAATCTTAGTTTGTGTATACACTTTGGGCAAGTTGATAAATTGTCCTCCATCTATGTTTCCTATTTCCAGACCTGTGATTTCATAGCTTTTTGCATTCCTTTTTTGTCCCATTGTGCGGAGTAGAATTTCAGTCTTTCGTCCTTTAGTATTCAGTTGGTTCATTAGGTTTTCAGTACAGAATGTGGCCGTGCTCCCAGGGTCAAGAAAGGCGTAGGTTTGAATATACTTGCTTCCTTTTGCTGCTTTAACTTGCACTGGAACAATAGCAAGAGCACAATCCTCACCGGCCCCTGTTGACTGATCAGCTGATACCTTCGCACTGTTGATGGACGCTCGCTTTGGTTCTGTTCTACTGTTTTGCAGGGTGACTTGTTTTGAATTTAAATCATCAATATGCAGCAGTGTTGGATGTTTCCTTTGGCATGTTAGACAGTTTAGCTTCAATGTACAATCTTTGCTCATGTGACCCTTCTTAAGGCAACCAAAACAGTAACCATTTGTCTTTAGATAATTAACCTTTTGGTCGTGAGGCTCTGATTTTAGTTTTAAGCAGTCCACTACTGCATGCCTGCCTTGACAGAAACTACATAGGGTTGCAGGGGCAGCTTTGATGTAGGTGGGTTGCTGCACCTTAAATGCCTGTAGCCTGGTGTCATGATGTTCAGTTGCGGCGACAGCCGTGGCAAAGCTACTGCTCCTTTTAGGTGTTCTGAGGTCAGTTGTCCTATTGTTGGTGATTATCCTTTTAGTGGGATTTGAGTCTTTAATTTCTCCAAACACTGGGTGTAATAATATGTCAGAATGCTTTTCGGTGAATTCGACCAGATGTTTGAATCTAGCCCTGATGTTCTTCTTTTGAAATTCTTCATACGCTGTTGTGCGCCATCTTTCCCTGAGCTTATATGGTAGCTTGGATACAATTAGTCTTAACGTTGATGTGACGTCTAGCTCATCCATGTACTCCAAGTCCTGCATGGCGTTAAGGCATTCTCTTAGGTATAGTGAGTAGGCATGAAGAGATTGTCCATCATCTGGCTTGATAGCTGTCCAGTTGAGTGCCTTATCCAGATAAGCATTTGCAATTTTCATTTCATTTCCATAATGTCTCTTTAAAAGTTGCATGGCCTCTGAATATCCTCTTTGTGCATCCATGTGAAGACAGCTACGGATCAGATCTCTGGCTTGACCTGA